CGCATTTCTCTCTGCCTACTCAGATCTTCCAACCTTTGCAAGCACCATTTTGTTCATAGACCACCATTTCCTAGCCTGGAAGATTAGATGATTTCCCATGGCACCCCTTCATAACACCCTGTCCTTGAACTTCTTCCTTGGAGCCCTCAGCTCAAGTTAACTAGTATATCATTGTACCGTGTCCAGCTGGCCGAACAGAATCAGAAGGCTAGACAGCCGGGGCGTGCTCTGGTTTGTTCAGGCTATCAACTCAGGGCCTGGCACCTCATCTGGCTCGACACAGAGTTGCTGACTCTCGCCACGAGTGACTGTGTCAGCATAGACTTTCTCCTGCTCTTTGTTCAGCAGCCAAGTTCTTGGTGATGGGCCGGGCTTGTCCTGCCTGTGCTGAGTCTACAGGCATTGGCTGCATCAGCAGCGACATTCCTTCCCAGGGCCTGACAGACTGGGCTCAGAGGAGGTCCCTTGCCCAACTTAGAACAGCAGCGTAGTACTTTGCCACCTCTACCTAGAGACTTAGATTCTTCTAGGACAGTGGTTCTCAACCTTCCTGATGCCGCGACCCTGTCATACAGGTCCTCATGTGGTGGTGACCCCCCCAACCATCAAATTACTTTCATTGCGACTTCATCACTGTCATTTTGCTACTGTTATGAATCGGGAGACCCCTGTGAAAGGGTTGCTAGACCCCCAAAGGGGTCGAGACCCACAGGTTGAGAACCGCTGCTCTAGGAAGTCGAGAAGAAAGGCGGGGACCTATTGTTTCAGCTTGGGGTTGGGAAAAGGTCCAGGAATCAATGAGAGCCATCTCCAGGGGACTCAGGAGCCACACGGCCCTGTCAACCAGACAGAAGCGATGCCTGAGACCAGAAGGAGATAGTGCGTCATTGTGACTGTGGATTCACATTTGTACCTAAGAGCTAAATGTTAGAACAGTCTAAAGAGATGACACGTGAGAGCAAAGATCCATGGTGGCCTCCGCTTGGGCTCTAAGGCTGTCACGGGGCAATGCCACAGTGTTCACAGCATAGATGTGCTTTGAGCTGAGAGGAATCCCTACCCCGCTGCCATGTGGAGAGCCGGAACTCTGTCAAAGTCAAACCATAAACTAAGTGCAAGTATGGAGGCTGCAAACTTGCTGAACGGTTCAGTCGAATAGCATACCGATTGGAATCAAGAAGGTGTTGGCCTGGAAGTTCGTTTCCAGGGCCAGAAGGACTGGGTGAGGAGGAGATTTCTTGCTCCTCTTTCAGGACAGTCGTGTAGTACTGTCCCTCCGTAGTTGCTGTCACTCAGTACAGTCAACTAACATTGACCCTTGTTCTAGAGGCTGTCCATCTATAAATGAGAAAAGACCCTCTCCCACCCTCAAGGACCTTAACCGAGAGTGAATATACTGCTGTCTTAAGTTTTCCAATCAACACTCCGGCATACTCACACTCCCTCCACTAAATCGCAACACCTCTGAACTATCCAACCATCGCAGACCCAAGCACTGTTTAATTTCTCTTGATTCCTTCCATTCAGTGGGCCCTTTCCCATGAGTGGGACTTTCACGTGTTTTTGTACCTACTGGGCCATCTCGGGAAGAATGAAGCTGATCCCTAAACAGGTCTGCTTGGGGTCCAGCTGAAGCAGGCTGGAGGAGGATCCACATGGGGCCAAGATGTCGCATACTTTCTGGTTTGGTTTGGGAGGGACACGGTCTTGGCATCATGCCAGCTTCCTCTAGGCCACAAGAGCAATCCAGCCCAGTAGCTCTAAACTCTGGCCTCCCCTGGCAGGAAACCTCTGCCTGCCACTTCTAAGCCCTCCTGGGGAAGCATGCCCAAGGAAGAGGTGGACCTTTCATGACCAGCCCTGCCTCCCAGCTGAGCATTCTCTCCTCGGTGGCCAGCTCTGCACCCCCGAGTTCGGAGGCTGCTGCTTCCAGTCCAGCCTCTAACCCTTTATGGCAGTGTTTCCAAAAGTGGGTGACACCCAAAGGGCCCTGGAATGATCCAAGGGAGGCTATGAAAGCCGATACCTACACTTTATCCTGGATAAGGGGCCATGGTGGTATAGTGGGTTATGATTGTGGCTGCAAGCCAAAAAGTTAGCAGTTCCACCAGCCTCTCTGAGGGAAAACGATGAGGCTTTCTACCCCCACAAAGATGAACAGCCTCAGAAACCCACAAGAGCAGTTCTACCCTGTCCTGTAGGGTTGCTATGAGTTGGCATTGACTCAAGGGCAGGGAGTTTGGTTTTTTTGGTGCTATGGGCTAGAATAGAAACAGTTGTCATTGCTAAGGGGGCGCTGAGTCTTTTTTTTTTTTTTTTTTAAAGGAAGCTGTAGACCAAATGAGTTTGAGAACCTATGTGTTACAGGGAAGGCCAACCTGCCCTCCTAGCAGATCCTCCTTTGGGACAGCCAAGATTTCAGATGCAGCTGAACTGGATCCCATTGCAACCACCAAGGTCTCTCTTTTAATGCATGGGAGTTTTTTTCTGCCTTTGATGAGGATAGAGGTGGTACAATGGTTAAAGCACTCAGCTGCTAACCCAAAAGCCGGTGGTTCAATCCCACCTGCTCCTCCGTGGAAGAAAGATGGGGCAGTCTGCTTCTATAAATATTTACAGCCTTGGAAACCCAGTGGGACAGTTCCTTCAGGGCCCATCTGCCCTATGGGGTCACTGTGAGTTAGAATCAACTCAAAGGCGATGGATTTGGTTGTGTGTGTGTGTGTGTCTGTGTGTGTGTGTGTGTGTGTGTGTGTGTTGCTTTTTCACAATGGAGAGAGCTCTATCAGAAACAGACCACGAGGCCATAGGAATTAGCTGGAAGTCAAGAGTGAGATTTACTGCCAAAGCCAGAAGGTAAATGCCTCCCGGAACCCAGAAGCAGAGCTGGCACAATGCCAAAGCATCTGCCCCTCCTGGATAGCAGCCTCAGGCCTGAGATATGTGCCCATGTGCCCCAGGAACTGGTTGCCAAGGGCACCTTTCCCAGATGAAGTGATGGCCCTCATGCACACACTGACCGCAAACATCAGAGCCTCTGGGTTTGTTTGGTTCTCAAAGAATGTTTTAATTTGGAGATCACTATAGGGTCAAACGTAGGTGTGAACGTTATTCTGGGTTGGCTAGAGAAACAAATTCATAGACACTCATATGTGTGTAAGAGAGAGTTTTATATCAAAGAGTAATTGTATATTAAGAAAAAATCCCAGACCCTTAAGACTGATATTAGCCCACATGTCCAATACCAGTCTATAAATTTCTCTTCAGACCCATGCAACACGTGCAATGATGCAGAATGTAGGAAGATCAAAGACCAGTGGGTGGAAAGTCTTGTGGATCCCGTGGTAGTAGAAGCATCTCAGCGCTGGTGTGGGTCTCCATGTGGCTCCTCCAGCTCCAGGGCTCTGGCTCCATCAGAGTAGCTCCATGTGGCTTGTCAACAAGAATGTCTCACAGGGGAGTAAGTGTATCCTCCCTCCAGTGAGCTATTTATCTCCTTCGCGCCTCCAAATGGGGTCATCCAGCTGCGAACTGATTGACAGGCTAGCCTCCACCCTTCGCAAGTTGACAGGAGATGGTGTCACTGCCACAGTAGGTGACAGAAGTCCCATGTTTCTCTTGTTTCCCTTTATCCTGTTTCCCCAAAAGGAACACTTCACAAAACTCTGCCTCTACACCACAACCATCATATTGTCCTTGCTACCGGCACTGATGTTATTTAGATTTCCAATCGACCTCTGGGTCGATTCCTACACATGGCGACTCTTTATAGGGTTTCTGAGGTTGCAAACCTTTCCAGGAACAGATAGCCTGTCTCTCTCCCTTGGAGTAACCCAGGCATTTGAACCACGGACCTTGCAGTCAAGCGTCCAACACTGACCTGACGGTGCCACCAGGGTCCTTGTTGTGTTTCTGTTGTTGTTGGGTTCCATCCAGCCAGTTCCGACCCATGGCAACCCGAGATGCAACAGAACAGGACACCGCCTGGCCCTGCGCCATCCTTGCCATCGTTCTTATGTTTGAGCCTGCCGTTGCCGTCATTGTGTCAACCCAGCTCCTTAAGGGCCTTCCGCTCTTTGGCTGCTGCCCTACTTTACCAAGTGTGATGTCCTTCTCTAGGGTCTGCCCCCCGCCCCCCATAACATGTCCAAAGGACATGAGGTAAAGTCTTGCCATCCTTGTGCCAGAGGTGCACGCTGGCCGTCCTTCTTCCAACACAGACTGGTTTGCCGTCTAGCCGTCCAGGGCGCTTTCAGTAGTCCCCAGCACCACCACTCAGACACATCGATTCTTCCTTGGTCTTCCTTTACTCGAGGCCCAGCTTCCATTTCCCATGCATGAGGCCCTTGAAAACACCACGGCGTGGGTCAGGTGCCCCTTAGTCCCCAAAGAACATCCTTGATTTTCAACACACGTGTGTGTGCTTGGTCCTATGCAACGTTTTCACAGGCGCGGGATGTATTGAGATACACCACTGCTCCATCACCTCGAGGATCCTTCCTGGTGCCTTTTATAACCACACTCAAAAGAGTAGGATATACTGCACCCCAACTTAGCACTAAGGCCCCCCTTAAAAGCCTTTAGGATGGGATCCTCAAGGATCTTTTATTCTAAGAGAGAAAATACATTTTGTTTGGCATTTCTGACCAGATGGAAGGCATGTTGTCCGGGCAAGTGCACACATGCCTGAGCCCCTTTGTCTCCCGAACACCACCGTGGTGCTCAACCTTCCTAATGCCGCGGCCCTTTAATACAGTTCCCTATGTTGTGGTGACCCCCCCAATCATAAAATTATTTTTGTTGCTACATCATCACTATCATTGTGCTACTGTTATGAATCGGGCGACCCCTGTAAAAGGGTCATTTGACACACCCCCAAAGGGGTCGCGACCCACAGGATGAGAACCTCTGCTCTAACACCAGTGGTTGGTTGGGTTGTAATGTCCTTCAGTGTTGATTGACAAGCCTGGCTTGTATCTCCCACCCACTTCCTCCCCCAGGAGCATATCTACAAGCTGATGAAGAGTGACAGCTATGCCCGCTTCCTCCGGTCCAATGCCTACCAGGACTTGCTGCTGGCCAAGAAGAAGGTATCTTTGGGAAGGGCAGGTTTGCCTCTCTCGCACTGTGGACTCTTGCCTGATGCTTGCTGCTGGTGCTCAATGGGGGGGTCCTTCCTCGGGTTTCATTTATTTTCTTCTTTCTTCTTTCCCTTCTGCATCCCTTCCTACTCCAATTGAAAACAACTAGGATGATTTCCTCCCGAGCCCCCCAAGGCCCAATCTCCATGTCCCCAGTGTCTCTATCTACAGGCAGGGCAGGGGATGGCGAGTATGGTCCTCAGAGGTGCAGCAATGGCACCCAGCTAGTCCCTTAGAGAGCCCAAGAGCCCTTCAGTTCAGAGCCCCCCGCCCTATAGACTTTCCCCCCTGACCATCCAGGGATGATCGCAAGGCATGGTCCGAGGCAGCCTCCTCACGGGACAGGAAGCCTTGCCAGTTTCGAGGCGTTCCTGAGCCACCTTTGGGATTCTTTCCTGCTTCACAGCCTCCTTTCTCTGCCTCACCTGAGAGGCCTTAGACCTTGGTAACCAAGAAGCCACTGTATCCCATCATCTTCCTTCTCCTCCACCAGGATCCAGTGACCCACCTACCCCCCACCCGCCACCATGCAGGTGGAAAGGTGATTGGGCAGGGAAGAACTCAGCCGGAATTCTGGGAGGAAGGAAGGGCGAGGTGGGAAGGGGAGGGAGGCCTGGGAGAGGGAAGGCAAGAGAGAGGACTGGGGGTTCCAGTAAGCGTGCCAGCCTCTGCTCCGCCCCACTTGGGTCTGAGGCCTGTGTGTGGCCAGGTGTGGCTCTCGTGACACCGATCCACTACTGGGTGCCGGGCCACTTAGGAGTCCCATGGCCCCTCCTTCTTTCTTCCCAGCGACCCTCCCCCAGCTCCTAAACGTGTGGTGGTCCACCAGCGCACCGTCTGTCTGGGCTGCCTCTCTCGGCCACGTAGCCCTCCTCTCTGTGTACTGTCAACCTTGTGTGCCAGGCTCCTGTCTGTCAGCCAATTGGGACCATGCTGCTGCAGGGTCTAGAGGAGCATGGCTCTCCGCCCGCAGGTAGTCCTGAGAGGAGCCTTCACCGTCGGGAAAAAGCAAGGGCTCTCCTCGGGGATGCTCGGCTGTCCGAAGCCCAGCTCTCTAGCCCAGGTGTAGGAGCGAATGTGGTGGGAAGAGCGTGAAGTCTGGCCTCCTGCCAGTTCCCTTGCTGACGGATGTTGATGGAGGGTCTCTGGTGGAGGGGAATGACTCCCCGCAAACAGCTCCGGTGTCCCCGCCCCTCTTTTTAAAGACCGCTTAGGGAGGCGTGAGGTGTCTCCCTTCCAGATCTCCTCAGGGAAGGTCAGAGTAAGTGTCCCGGGTTTCCAGTGGGCTCCAGAGATCTGAACTGAGCACAAGCGGAGGGGGACACATGGGCCTGTCTGCTCATCGAGAAGAGGGACAGCCGCAGGCCACTCAGTCCCTGGGGCTTTGAGCATGGATGGGAAGAAACCACTCCACAGCGAGGGAGTGGGGCCAAGGGATCGGCGCTGGCCAGTCCTGTGTGGTGGAGGCAACCTTTGGAGAGAGAGCCGGAGGAGGAATGCTGGAGGGTTCCATCGGCTCTTCCTCCCAGCCTGGTGGTGAAGGGCTCTCCTGGAGGCAGGAAGCCCTGGTCCTTTCAGGAGAGGGCGTTACCCTGTTCCAAAGACAGTGACGTGTGTGTTTTCTCCTTCCGTGCCTCCCTGAGAGTCTCTAGGTGTGGACCCGGTTTGTGTCTCGGCACTTCCAGGTAGGCCTAGTGTTATCTTCTTTCTGATGGGCTGATGGGTGGAAAGTCCAGGGCATAGCAGGCATGTGGTGCTCACCACGTCCAGCGAAGAGGTGGGGTGCGAACTGGCATCATTTTTCTGCTAAGAGAGGCCCCTGGCTGGTCTGGAGAGCCTGCCTAGTGACCGTCTGCTCCTAATTCACTCCCTGTTTTACATCCCAGAGCTGGGCTGTGGAACGACTCCGGGGCTGATGAAGTGGCAGTGAGGATGGGTCACAGCATAGCTAGCTCATAGCTCGAGGGAAACATGTGCAAAGAATGAGGACCCTGAGGCAGGCAGACCAACTGCTGCCCTCTGTCAGCAGCAGCAGCTCGGTCACCAGGGGGCCAGAATTAGAGGCACCGAATGCTTGCTAGCTCGATTTGAGCCAAATGGGTTGCTGCCTGGTCTGTCCACTGCTAGCCTCACGTGGGGGCTTGTTCTGGCCCCCAGGGCCTAGCGTGTGTCCTTCAGCTCCCTCGTGCAAGGAGAAAGAGCTGCCCAGCTCTGTGGCGGTATGGCATGCGGGTTGTGCTTTTTTTCTCACATCCCCGAATCTGTCTCCGGCAGCCGGCTGGGCGGACAGGGCCAGTGCTGCCAAGGACGCCCAGGACTTCATCGGCACAGACAGATGGCTGCCTTGTGCCTGCCCCCTCCACTCTCAGCAAATCCTGCAGACCCACACGCACCCAGCTGCTTCTTCAGGGCCTTTGTTTCCATGAATTGCTGCTGGGTTGGTGTATGTGTGTGTGTACATGTGCCTGTGTGTGTGTGTTTTCCTGTGGGTGTGTGTACTCTGTGGATTTCCCAGTCCCACCCAGGTTCAGGACCCTGAAACGGGGCTCTAGCATAAACTAGCAGGTGTTTGGGTTGTAGCTCTATTTGCCTGGAATCCTTGCAGGTGGGAAGCTCGGGGGCAGGTTTAAGCACACCCCAGTCCCTCTCCTCCTTTTGTAGAGCAGCTAGGGCTTGGCCTCCTTTTGACCCTGCCCCAGTCACCTTGACCGAGAGTCCCTCGGGGTGCTTGGCTAGTCACCTGAGTCTCCTACAGTCCCTTGTGAGTAAGCCTTGGGAAGTTCTCAGCTGCCTTGGTACAGGGGGAGCCTTTTACGTCCAGACTGTTCTTCGGGGTCACGTAAGATGCTTGGCCATTGGGAAGGATGTGGGCAGGCTCGCTCTCTCCCCGCCCCCCGCTCTCCTTGTTTAAGGAACGAGAGCATAAAGAGCTCAGAAAGAATTGGGCAACATTTCTGGCTGCTTCTGGGCAGGAATATCTCAGAATATAAGACCTCCCTCTGACTCACAGAACCGATCCGTGTCTGACTTCACTTCCCTCAAGGCCCTTCCTGAAATCCCAGCAAGATCCCCCCCAACTCTGCACCAGCCCTCAGGCCTAGTCTGTTCTGTGTCACCTGCAAGTTCACCTGGAGTCACCTGCAGCCCCCTACACCTGAGCAAGGCAGGCTATTGAATGCAGAAG